ACAGCTTTCCCCTCCTCAACTCGCAATTAGAACTATCAGCCACGTGATCTGATCCTAATATATACATCGTCAGTGTTTATCATAGTCATACGCAGGGTTGGCAAAGCAGAAAGCATGGGCTGATCTTCAGATATAGTTTTAGTTGGGCTATAATGCCTGAGCCCCACTAAAGCGACAAACAGAAACAAACGACAGCGGCTAGCCTTAAACCAGAGTATTTCGCGATTTGACAGGCTTTGTAGAATAAAGAAGGCTATGCTCAAACACGAGTATCATGCACACGATGGTACCATTTGCAGGCTTGTAAACGCTCGTGCTAACTTCGCGAGCACCGAACAACTCAAAGCCGTATAAAGGTACCGTCGCGAACATGCTGCATGTGTCCGAGGCTTGTCGCTGTCGTTTGTTTCTGTTTCTAGCTCTAGTGGGACTCGGGCCCATCATAATCTTTGAGTTGAACACGAGCCGTTACCTGAATGTTTGGCGATGCTGGTTGTCATGAACCAAAGCATTCGACTCGGGATCATGACAATCGGGTACATCATGGTGTCACGTGACTCTCAGTACGAAGTTCTGATGTCATGTGACGTCACGGTATCAACAACGTTAATAGATCTAGCGACGTCCTCAATTCGAATCGACTTCACGCGGTGAGTCACGTGACGTCACGGGGTCACGTGTTGTGACATTACTTGACAGCATGTCTTGACATCATTACGTCACATGACGATGTGACACATGCCTAATCATAGTGCCAATAAGAAAGCGCCGCAAAAAACCAGGATTTATCATACATTGCAATTCTGTATATGACGACTTGATCAATACGTAGAGGAATACACGTGCCAAATTTTTATTCCCAAATAAGAAATTTGTAATACTAACAAAAAAAAAATACCGGAACCATTTTGAACCGGTTACCGTTATATTTTTTTCCGGTTCAGTTCCGGTTCAGTTCCAAGATGGCGGCGAAGATTTCGGTTCGGTTCAGTTCCGGTTCGGCTAAAAATAACGGTTCTGTTCCGGTTTTCGGTTCGGTTCAGTTCCGGTTCGACACCCTGCTTCTATTACGTGTTTGAAAGCCCGTTTACTCCACAGCACACGGTCGCGCGCATTCGATTTCTTGGATGGGGAGGAATCACGGAAAAACTTTTTGATTTCTTGTCTGTCTCGAATCACATTCAAAGTGACGACTGCTTGGTAACTGATACTGGAGGGAACATCAATGTTGCAGTCAAGTGAATGGGAAGGTTCGATAGCTGCTTTTCTTGAGTTTGGTTGTGTTCGGTTAGCTTCAAGTTTGAGCCACCCACGCCGGTCGGTGCGTTGGCTATTCATCTTGGCTGCTTTTCGCCGAAAAAGCCTCTGGACCACACTGAAGCAGTTGGGCTGATTTCGCAATTACTTGATTCAGGAAAACTTGCTCGCTGCAAATGATGAATGAGGGAAATTATCTGTTTTCAAAAGGTGGGAGACAAGTCTCGCAACATTAGATGCTGTCACGGCATTTTGACCTATCACGCCTCCAATATTTATATTACGAGGACGTCGAAGCCAGTGGCTGTATACGTCTACATTGATTAGGTTGACCGGCCACAAAAAAATACAAATTTTCTCCGTTCAGAATTCGAAGCAAAGTTCAATGCAGAGAGGTTCTGCGTGGATCTTCAAAGAAGACTCTCTTCAGTTTGTCTCCGTGCTGCCGGCTATAGAACCATTTGGCTAAGTTTAAGTAGTATGTCTCCGTCTGTCAAATATACTTTTATTCAGCAGCTCACCTAATAGCTATCAACTAAGCTCATATTTCAACCCGAAGGATATACTAATATCGCGTTAGTGGGACCCCCCCCCCCCCCCCCCCCCATAGTACGTAATATAATACATAACCCGCTCGTCAAAATGACTTCTCGATTGCTACTAAAACCTGAATTGAAATACAAGTATCAGCTGCTTAGTAGGGCGGCGGCGGGTTAACATGGTCCTTGGCTCAAGAAGCGGTTGCTTAATTTTCGTGATTTTCCTGCAGCCTGTGTTGTTGGCCGAGCAGACGACTGGAGCTGTTTCGTAAACGCGAATACGCACAAAAGCTCGATTTCGCGGACAGATAAGTCGCATGGTCGAGGCACGCGAGTTAGCTGAAAAGTTACTCTCTGTGGAACAATTCTATAGTCATCGCCGCTTTCCTTAGATGATCAAAACTGATTAGTATATTACCGTCTCTCCCGAGCCCATAGTTTCGGTTTTGAACGAAATCTCCGAAACGAAAGTTTGACACGAAAAAAAAAAAAAAAAAAAAAAACACCGGCAAAACAAAACTATGCTTTGAAAGTTTATCTGCACCGGCTACACTTAACCGTCTCAGTCCAAATACCTATAAAATTGGGCATTAAACAAAAGAAAATCTGTTAAATTGAACGCGCCACCTGTTCAGGCGGCCCGGCCGAGCCGCCGCGACCTGGACTCAGCCGCCATGTTTGTTTGGTGGTAGCGCCCCCTATAGGTCGCTGGAGTCGCGAATACAAGGGGAAGAAGGAGCTCCCCTCTGATCAGGATCCTCCTTTGTGCCTCCTGGATTAGCACAGGCGTCCCTATTCTCCTCCCAGAAGATTATAGAAGATTAACCTGTCACTCAAAATTCTTACAAAAGCAGCTTCCCTCTCCTCCTTTAGCCGCGCTCAACGAGGCGATGGGCCTAGAGTGCCTTCATGTGCGCTTCGCATAGAGTGATGCCAACTGCCTGTTTCCCTTTCCCACACCCTCTTCCACCGCCATTTTGTTTCTCTCATTGTTTCCCCGTGCGCCGGAAAGTGGCCTTTGTGTCCATCGGTAATCCCATCCGAGGGGGAAGATGCTAATCCTCCCCCCGTGGGTTCCACAACGCTGCTCCGAACTTCTGAGATAAGGTGCTTGTTTCCGGGAGGGCTATAAGCCCCACGGATTATCGCCGAGGAACAAAATGGCTGCTGGTTTGTCGGCGAGTGGTATTACAAAGGGTGGCATCACCCTAGCAAAGCGCACATGAAGGCTCCCTAGATGGGCCTATCAGTAGTATCAGTAGTGGAGCGCCGGGCCGGCCGAGCGCGTCACTCACGTCTCTCACGGCGCTGGCGCCACCCGTGCTCTCCCCGGGAAAGAAAACAAAATTGAAAAAAAAAAAAAAAAAAGCTGTACGTGCTTGATGACGTCACGGACGTGCCGGGAGAAGGAATTTGGAGGAAGCGGAAATGCAGCCGGGCAGTGTTGTCTGGCCCGCACGTCTCATCCAAAACCAGCGGATTCGTGCTTGTCAAACTTTGACAGCGATTTTAATGAACTTCTAGGCGGAATTCCGTCGTAATATTTGCCATGGGGGTTTTGTAGGTGATAACAAAGAGAAGTGTATAGTTTTGCACTACTGGAAAAGAAGCGGAGTTGCCCTTTAATGCACGTGACCTGCATACAAATCCAGTTTTCTCTTAAATGTAGCGGAAAATTAACGCGTGACCGGCGGCAGCCCGTCATTCCCCGTACTTTGTGGACACAGGCCAAGCCGACGGGGAAAGTTAATGGGTAGTAATGCAAAACTATCGATAGTACTATCGATAGTATCGATTAGAGTGCCTTCATGCACATGAAGGCTCCCTAGTATCGATAGTCGCCAGAAATCTGACTACCGGTACTAAAAAGCTATCGATAGTACTATCGATAGTCGACTATCAAAAAATTGTCGATAGTACTATCGATAGTATCGATTAGAGTGCCTTCATGCACATGAAGGCTCCCTAGTATCGATAGTCGCCAGAAATCTGACTACCGGTACTAAAAAGCTATCGATAGTACTATCGATAGTCGACTATCAAAAAATTGTCGATAGTACTATCGATAGTATCGATTAGAGTGCCTTCATGCACATGAAGGCTCCCTAGTATCGATAGTCGCCAGAAATCTGACTACCGGTACTAAAAAGCTATCGATAGTACTATCGATAGTCGACTATCAAAAAATTGTCGATAGTACTATCGATAGTATCGATTAGAGTGCCTTCATGCACATGAAGGCTCCCTAGTATCGATAGTCGCCAGAAATCTGACTACCGGTACTAAAAAGCTATCGATAGTACTATCGATAGTCGACTATCAAAAAATTGTCGATAGTACTATCGATAGTATCGATTAGAGTGCCTTCATGCACATGAAGGCTCCCTAGTATCGATAGTCGCCAGAAATCTGACTACCGGTACTAAAAAGCTATCGATAGTACTATCGATAGTCGACTATCAAAAAATTGTCGATAGTACTATCGATAGTATCGATTAGAGTGCCTTCATGCACATGAAGGCTCCCTAGTATCGATAGTCGCCAGAAATCTGACTACCGGTACTAAAAAGCTATCAATAGTACTATCGATAGTCGACTATCAAAAAATTGTCGATAGTACTATCGATAGTCGACTATCGGAAAATTATCGTTAATCGACTATAAAAGAACTATCATTATTCGACTATCATAAACCTATCAACAGTACTGTCGACGGTTTACTATCAATAGTTTTGCGACACTAGTAGTTTGCGTCGCGTCGCTCCCTCTTGTTGTTCTCGGTTTATTTATTTATTTATTTATTTATTCAAATGGGACACCAACCAGCCCAAGCAGTTACCACTCCAACTTTGGTTCAGCTTTCGGTGGGCGAATAGAGGAGAAAGGGAGGCGAGGCGGCGGTGCGGCAACTGTGTTCGCTCTAGTGGTCCAAAACTATCGATAGTACTACCGATAGTTCTGCGGCACTATCGGTAGTTTTTTCATAACTATCGATAGTACCGATAGTGATTTTATTGATAGTTTTGCATCATTATTTATGGATAAACGAGTCAATCAGTCAATGGGGTGGAGAGGAGTGGAGAGGCCGGGAGGGAGAACTCAACAAGAAATGCCTGGAGGATACTAGCGCTAAACCAAGAATGTTTCACGTAGCAACGCATTTGCAGGGCAATTCGCAACATATTTTTTTCCCTACTTTCGCAGGTATGGTGTCCTTTGTGGAGAAGATAACGGACAACAACTGGAGCAACACGCTAGCAAGTCTATACAAGAGTGGTAGCCGACTTCGTGGAAATTTTACCCGGCGTAAGTTTACGTACTCTTAACATCACCGTGTAAAATTATAATCGCGTCATATGTTGACAGTATTACTGATATCAAAGCACTGAGAGATGAACTACCTGGTATTTCCTAAGCATGCGCCTCGCCGCTTTTGTTTCTTTTGGAAGTTTCTATTTTCTTTTTCGAAGGGTCGCATCATTCGGAAGACAACTTTCTGCTGGTCTATATCTATCCTTTTTAATGAAAGTTGGGGAGTTCTGACATAACCATTTTAGCATATATCTTCGTGTAAGCATTGCCGTGTTTAGGCTGGCTCACTCACTTGCGGGCTAGTATGACCGCGTGCCGTTGTGACCCCACGGGATCGCTCACAACGGGAAAACACACTGGCGCCGTAGCTCTGGGCACTTTCGTTTCCGTGTATTTGCTTTTCTTCTGGCGCATCATTCTTTGATCGTGGCTTGAATGTCTGACAGCGTTATAAGCGACCATTTCTCATAGATAGTGCTATATTTGGTATCGCAAATGCTGCAAAAATGTCAGTCTAGTTATGCTTGGTTCTAGGGCTTCCTTATCGATAGCGCCAGCGTGCCAGTGCGTTGCTTCGTCATAAGCGGTTGCAAAAGAGGACAACGCTCTCGATCACACTAATAACGCGAGTGTGTTAGCCGGCCTTTAGTGTTTGCAGCAACTAAGCGCGTCAACGAAACCCTATCCCGTTACAAATACCTGACCCATTTAACCTTACACTGGTGACTATATCGAACGTTTCTTGTAAGCATGCTTCCCGATTGCGACAAAGCTAACGGAACAGATACATGTTGCGCCGTCCGAACGCCGAGCTCTTGTTGGAATGATTAGTGGGTAGACCTAAGCTGAGAGCGGAAGTTCGTCTGCTTCTTGCACAGGAGTTGCGATGAAGACAAAACACCCAGCTCTTGTTGGCTGATTGAAATTTAAAAAAAAAAAAAAGGTGGCACACCTCAAAGCATGTAGCAGTGGGGTCTGCCCACTATCCTTTTAATCAAAGCCAATCAAAGCTCAACGTCGTTCTGACGTCACCGTAATTCTTGCGCAAAAAGCAGACGACTTGCTCTTCGCATAGCTGCGGTTGTCTCCCCTGCACGCGTTGAACGTGTTCGAACTTGGAACGCAAACGCCGGACGCCGTATATTCCGGGTTAAAACGCCTTCGAACAGTGCAGCGAAGATAAAAGCTGCCTTTGCCTCTACTTCACTCGTCAAACACGATAGAACGTGGAAACGCCAGCGTTCAGCGTTCGCGTTCGACGAGTGCAGTGGAGACAAAGGCTTGCTAGATTTGCCTCTACCCATTCCAACCAGAGCTCAATATGCTGACATCCCGCGCGCTCCCGTCTTTTCCTCTCTCTTTCAGTTTCTGCACGCATATGTATTAGAAGTGACAAAAAGGTGGATGCAGAATTTGTCCATTTTGGCGGTAATTCAATCTACTCGCCATAAGCGTCCAAAGACTTTCAGATGAACAATCATACGTGGCAATTTGTTTCTTTCTCATAATACGGGACCACACATCTCAAACGTCCCTTTAGGGTCACATCAAACTGTGTGGTGTGCACATGCCTTGTTGGCACATGAGCCCGTGTGGTGTGACACCAGACTCTCTTGGTGTGCTCGATACACTAGCATTGCTGTTGGGCACACCAGATCTTCTGGTGTTACGCCAGGATTGCCTGGTGCATTTTTAACTAGAGATAAGATGTATCCAGAAGAAAAAAAAATGAAATTCGTTTACAAATCTCCGTAACGCGAAACTAGAGCGCACCTCTTAAGGAGGAGGAGGGGAGGGTACGAAGGGGAGGATATGCCTCTTCTCCTCCTCCTCCTCCTGCGCCCCTCTTCCCCTCCCACTCCTCCTCCTTCCATCCTCCTCCTTTCCTCTTCCTTTGTACTTTCCCTTCCTCCTCTACACGTGACGTCAATTTTCCCGCTAAATCTAGCAGAGAAACTGAACTTGTTCATAGGTGACGTGACACCAAGTCATGTGACGTCACTTTCCCTGCTAAATTCAGCGGGGAAACTGAACTGGTGTTGAGGTCACGTGGCGTCGATTTTCCCGCTAAATTTAGCGGAGAATTGAATTGGTGTTGAGGTCACGTGACATCGATTTTCCCACTAAATCTAGCGGAGAAACTGAATTTGTTCATTGGTGACGTGACACCAAGTCATGTGATGTTATTTACCCCGCTAACTTTAGCGCGGTTACGCCAACGGCGACGCCGACGCCGCGAAACCTGGTAACGAGCGCCTAAGAGCTGCGCTCTAAAAAGGCGCGTCGCGATGTTTTGCTCGCGACACGCCCTTTTTTATACTAATACCCAATTCACGCGGCAGCGTAAAAGTACCTTTGGCACAGGTACCTGTATTAAAGGGAGCTGGAGATCGGGATCACACGGCGCATAAAGGTACCTTTCGCTAAGGAAGGTCCTGTGTTAAACGGAGCTCGCCAAGCTCCCTTTACAGATGGAGGGAGTAGCCTCGGACCCGCGAACTCAATATAAAAATCACAGATATATAAGCATATCTTGTTTAATGCAGTACAACAAATTGAATATATATAAGTAGCAAATTATGAAATGATTGGCGAACACAAATGTTATGGAATAATACATTAGCGAGCAACGCATACTCTAGTTAGCAGGTAGCAGCGGCGGCACGTGGAAAACAATGTCTGCTACGAACCCGAACGCGGTGTTCCACTGGGCGCGTTCAGTAGCGCCTCCCTTGCCTCCGAACGGAGTGCCTCGAGTTGGAGTCATCGGAGCGCCTACTGAACGGCAAAAAAACCCGCGGCTCCAAACCTGCTTCTACGCAACTTCTGCTTCCTCCCCTGTACCAGACAGTCTCCGAATAAACTGGAAGCAGACGATGGCGAGCACGATCGCTTTTATTTGACGCCGGTATTGAAGAAGTCTTCACAAGGTCGTTGAAGAAAAAGCGGGTGATTGTACACATCAGCGCTGCTGTTCGAAGCGATGCAACGCGATCGAGTCCTTCGCTTGGCGGTGCAAAGGCAGCTGCTGTTATAAAAGCCGATAAAAAAACGTCGTCAGCACACGCAAAATACAGAGCTCAGCGAATCTACCCCACCGGTTGCGATACTTTCATACGGCCATATGTTTGTCTTGCCCTTCGTAACGAACTTCCTATAAAATGTATTCGTATACACACGGGAAGTTCGGCCGCGCTCGGCGATCAAGGTTTTGTCGGCCGAAGCGAGCCTCAGCCAACGTGCACCCCGATTTAGCTACGCAAACAAAACATTAATCGGTATCATGCTCTGCGTGACTGTCCAACCGGCTTCCAAAGTCGCGTTCATACCCTGCCTTGCTCTGTTCAGCGCGGACAGGACTATCGTCGATATTCACCGAGTTCGCGTGCAACGGTGATCAAGACACGGCGTCAAATGAACGTTTGCGTTGTTTATTAGCATATTCAAACCAAACAAAATACGGTCCAATGCATTTTCCAAAAGAGCCTTACCTGAAAAAGATATTCGAACGCGTTATTCGTCTTACCTTGAGCACTTTTCATTAACAAAAGCGAGCAAACCGCGCACCCGCGATTGAACCGAAGCAGCTTATCCCGCCATATTGTTTGTTTTTTCCTCTTTTAGCACCGGAAATCGTCACCAGTCAGGAAATTACGTCATTTTAGCTCCTTTGACTCTACGTGCACCGTCTCCGGACTCGGTGCTTCGGAGCTTGACTCCGATGCCCCGGAGTTACGTGCACCGGAAGTGACTTTTGGCCGTCCAGTGGAAGGAGTCAGTGACTCCTTGACTCCGGGGCCGCTACTGAACGCGCCCACTGCGAGCTCTTTTTCGAGGTTGTAGACGAGTCGCCCGACTCTCAAGCCCAGGACCTTTTATTCTCGTCGTCGTCCATCCCTTTCGATGGCGGGACTGGTGTAACCGTGAGTCTCCGACGTGGTTCGTTTCTGCCGGGCACTATTTAGCTATTTGAGTGAGAAGTTCGCGGAAAAATATAGCTGCTTAACAGAAAAAGGTCGTTCACCTCTCAATGGAAACTCGTAAACGCAGATGATTTAGGGTCAGTGTGGCGAAACGGGTCAGACGTTTTAAAGCAAGAGTCATTTACGTGCACCCTTAGAGAAAAAAAATATAAAGTGCCGCAAAAGCAAACACAAGTATTATTTAGGTTTTAAATATGAAATTTTACACACAATAATCAAAAACGCCGCGTTAAATCGATTTCAAAGAATAATTGTTTATCACGTGCTCCTCTTGCGGTTTAGCAGGAATGCAATCGACATCAACTTAAAGTGCTCCGTTTGTTTATCGTGTGATCAAGAACGCCGTTTACTACAGGTATACCCTCCGGCGATATGAAAGACCCACTCGGTGCGCGTGGCAGAGGCGGTGGCTGAGGGGGGCGCTGCTCGCGCTTTGGGCAATTCCATGTCGCTCGGAGGGGAGGCCTCACTCGGTGCTCAGCCGCGCCAACTGGCGAGCCGCGTCGAGAAAAATTGATGAAAGCGCCCGTGATAACGAGACTTCATTCGAGCCTCCCTTACAATACTCCCAGGCGTGCCGCATAAGAAGCGCCCTCCCGCCAAACCGAAATCAAAATCTGTTAAGCTCGTCTCGACGTGGCTGGCGCAGCTGAGCACCGAGTGAGGCCTCCCCTCCGAGCGACATGGAACTGCCCAAAGCGCGCGCAGCGCCCCCCTCAGCCACCGCCTCTGCCACGCACTCCCAGTGGGTCTTTCATATTGCCGGAGAGTGTACCTTCAGCTAAGGGACCTGTGCCAAAAGTACCTTTACGCTGCCGTGTGAATTGGGTATTATACCAAATTCACACGGCAGCGTAAAGGTTCTTTTGGCACAGGTAACTGTAGTAAAGTAAGCTGGAGATAGTAATCACACGGCGCATAAAGGCCCCTTCGCTAAGGGAGGTCCTGTGTTAAACGGAGCTCGCCAAGCTCCCTTTACAGATAGAGGGTGTAGCTTCGGACCCACGAACT